AGATCTACACTGTAATTCAGGGTAGAGAGTCCCAAACTAGCTTTAATCAAGCGAGCTTGCATATCAGAAGCAGGCCAGAAGACAGCTCCATATGGAATAATTTATTGGGCCATGAAACTGAATATATTCATCTGTGGCTGAATTTCAGGACTCATGTAACAGCTCGAATGTGACCATCCTGGTGTGCTAGAAATCAGAGTCCGAAGCCAAACTTAAAACAACAAATCCAAATCACGTATCTTTCTTGGTTTTAATAATGAAAACTCAGAATCTAAAGCTGTCTTGTAAGTTAGGAGGTTGAAACCTAGATCTCTATTTTACCACTCAAACCACAGTGAAACAGCTCGGCCAAGCAGGATTGCCTTATGGCTTCCACAGTTGCAGTACTGACCGTGTTGACACCGTAATTCCACGCTTACAGAGTCAGCGCACAGCAACCACTGCTCTTTAAATTCACAGGAACTTCTGCATGTGAATAACATCTAAGTTTTCAAAAAAATAGAAAATACTAATTTGAAGTTTCAAAGCAATCAGGACATATTCTTCAACTCCTCTGTCCCGACCTTTTAATGTTCAAAGGTCCTCCTCCTGCAGCACACCAAATAATCTCATCATTTAATTTATTTGCTTTCAGTTTATTGGGCAAGTAATGAAGACCCACTTGTGTTGCTGGGCAGCAGGGAGGAAGATGGCTTCACCTTGTCCTGACAGCTGCACACGGGGTTACGTGTCCACCCAAACAACTGAGCAAATCTAACTCAGGGTTTGTTTCTCATGGGGCAGGTGGGGAGTGAGAGACAGTAAATAGAGACTGAAGCAGGAGTCAGTCTAGCAGATGCCCAAGAAAAGTTGGGGGGGCTGCTTGCTGTAAGGAACAGGCCCATAGCCCACATGGCGAGACAATATAAAGAAGGTGATTTTCAAAAGAGATTGTAAGCAAATTGTTCAATCCAGAAAGCTGCTCAAAGCAGCTACAGTGGAAAAAAAGAATGCAGAAAAGGATCTCCAAGGAAAGAAACCACACATGAACATCTCTGAGTGTGCCACCAGTCAACACGAGGTGAAATTTAATTCACAACTTAAAGATATTTGAGACAGGCATCTCAGCATTACTGGCTCCCAGCCTCTGGCTTGACTTACTCGTTGTTTTAGTGTGGGGACTTCTAATGTCCCTTCAGATTGCATTATTTTATGTAAAAACTTGCTGGCAGAAATATAAATTAATAGAAAATACTCTAGAAATGCCCAAGTTTTCAGTAAAGACACTCTGGCTGAAGCATCCAAGGGAAATGTACGCTCTAAAATATGATCAAGTTTTTACAGACAATGAGAAAAGTCCTTTTCTGTAGGGCACCCAAACATTGTTCAAGCAGAAGAAACAAGCAGACTCTACGCTGTCTCTTGGAGGCCCGTTTTCATCATAGTTCTTGTCCCTGAACTATCAGAGAAAAGTCATTCATCCTGCAAATATGTAATTGCTTCTTTTCAAAGTTTAGCATTCACCTGCTCTATTCATTACCGGACATATTGCACCTAAGTACAAGTACATTGAAGCTAATTGTGTGAAAATATTTATGACTACTGGATCAAGTGAAAGCCATCTGCTCATTAAAAACCACCCTGCCATCAACAGCATTCTAATAAGCTACAACTCAGCTGCATCGAAGTGGTAGTACTTACAGCACTCGGAGAGACCTGAGCCCATTGAACGCGTGGACTGGAATGCACCGAAGTCTATTATAACTCAAGATGCTGGGAGAATGAGGGAACAGAGTTACAACATTGTATTTTCTTTGATTCTATGATTCTATTTCACTACCAATTCAACCACAAAGAAGCATGGAAAGCCACATGCTTAAGTAACAAGATATATACTAATTGTTCAACACCTAAGATGGTGTCTGAAAAGCAATTAAAGCTGTTATCAAAACTTTGGACTACTTACAGTGTTGATAACTGAGTCATGTTGCTGAAGGTGTAATTGGCCAATACGCTTATGCTGTTGTTGCTCAAATCACTGAAGAAACACACAGAGAAAATATCATTTATATGTATGAATTGAGAAGTCTTTTTTTAAAGATAACATAACATCTGAAGGAATTGAAAAGTCACATATTACCAATTGATATAGTATTTTCTAACCAACTTTGAATAAGCTCTAAAAGCAAAGCACATCAGACTCCCCTACAAAGCCTCAGACTCAGAAATACTAAGGCATACTTCCAGCATATAGCATTCAAAAAAAAAAAAAAAAAAAAGAAAATCAGTGAATGCAAGCAAAATTCTTGAAGCAGGATAAATTAATAAATGATACAAGCACAGGTGAATTTACTGTTCCAAGTTGCTTTGCAATGTACTACATGAATACCATTTCCATATAACATTGACACCTACTAGAATAAAATTTCATTTTTCATTAAAAAAGTCTTTTATGCTCAAACAGAACATTTTGTTTTGTTGTTGCTCTCCCTTGAATAAGACACTCTTTTAAAACAGAGGATTCCAGTTTTCCTTCCATGTTGTTTTTGTCTGAGGTTGTTCTGCCCATTTGACTTGAGTATCTACACAGCCAATTCAAACAGCATTTGAAAATTTCTGATAAATTGTTCAGCCAAGAAATTTCACTCCTCTGTATTTCAGGGAGCAATTTACTGAACAAAGTCTGGTTATGTTTCTATCTGCATGACTGTTCACAGCAGAAACAGCTATGCAAATTTTCATTGCCTTAGCATTATAAATACTGCCTCACCTAGAACAAATTAATGCCGTCTCCTCTGTTAATGACCTTTACAACTTTGCACAGATAAATCTGCCAAGTGAAACTCGAGCAGCCTGCATGAGAGTTTAGTCCTCTCGCAGAGGCTGGAAGGGTCTGCACAGGAAGGGTCTTTGGTGCTCTCAGTCACCTCACTCTTTCTCCACCCTTTATGAACATTTATTGGCAGCAGTGGCCACTGTGAAATTCTTTTCAAATTCAAACCGCAGAAGGTTTTTGGGTTCTGTGTTGGTTTTTTTTTCCCCAAATACTAATTATTTATGTTCCACCTACAACATAGTGCAGAAAGAGACATGTAATATTCTTGACATTGAAACCTCGTGTTTCTTACATCAGTGTCAGGTGTCTGAAGGTGGAGAGCCCCTTCGGCACAGCAGTCAGATGGTTTCCTTCCAAGTATCTGAAAAAAGTCAGATTTGACAATTACACAAACATGTTAGCAAGAACTCCTGTCACTCAATCTGTGCCAGGAATGAGGAAAATACAAAGTCAGTCACTAAGGAAATTATCTTTGATTCTTTGCTCTGAAATTATAACAGTTTCTCCTTTATAAGTGAATTATCCCACATGCAAAGCAGGACAGTAGGTTATTGATTTATTTATTTTTTTTAGACTTGGAAGCAAACAAAGGATCTCTGGCATACAGCAAACACAAATAACCATTTAGTTCTTCTACGACAGCAACTGAAGAGGGGGAGAAAAATTGTATGGCTTGTGCCCTGAACTTAAAGTTACCTTTAACAAGTTTCTGTAAGAACGGTGAGTGCTGACTAACTGTGTTAGGAAAGTTTTTGTCTTTGCATGTAAGCTCCTTGTACCGCCAGAGCTGGAAGAGGAGCTGCACTGCCAGGTCTCTGTGGTGTAAAAAGTCTCACTTATTCCAGTGTCAACACAAACATCCATGAGTTTGAAGCCACATTCGTTACAGCAATTCCCACCAAGGTATATACAACCTCCTTACCCTTCCTTTGCCAGGTATGCTGCTACAGGATGAAACCTTGGTACAAATTGAAGACCAAAGACCAAGTTCTCCTTGAATACAGGCTCCTCCTACAAGCACTAAGCGTATTTAATAAAAAAGCTTGTCTCTCCAGGGTGGAAGTTGTTTGAGACACCACTGAATGTGTCTCTATTCAGACACATGCACAGTAGGGCTGAAGCCTTTTGGGATAATCCTATGTCCTCATACAGGCATATAGTGCCTGTTTTTTGCAGTTTTTCTCCACTTAAGAAACATGAACATTCAGTAACCAAGGGAGAACCCCTGAACAAATATAATACTTTCCAAAAGTTTGCCCAGAAGAGACCATGGGTACTCAAGACTCCACAGCTGACCTGTGGAGCAATGGGATGAGGGGCTTTTCTGTTTATTATAAAATAATAGAGACAGAGCTGGAGTTCTTTTCCTTAACCTTGGCTTTTGGGCGAAACTGCATCCCTGGAAGATACCAAAGTAATAAGGCTCCAATGGGAACTGTCCACTGTGGTGCCATGACAATGTCAAGACGATCCTCCAGCCATCTGCCAGAAGTGGTATCTATATGGGAAACAAATCCAACCTTCTCAGAAAGTACTGTGTAGGAGGAAGGCATTTCTCCCTCCACAGGGGAAAACAAGAGATTAAATATTTCCCTTCCTTACAAGATAATTTGGGGGACTTAGTTCCTGAGGTAGACATGGGACAATGCAATTGATGTGGTATGTTTTGAAAGATAATCAAGCATAGTGAGGAAATGCAGCCCACAGACACCAGAACACTCAATGTGTTGCCTCTACTGCTGAAAATATAATCCGATAATCATGTTAAGAATTTTTATCCCACACATGCAATTTCCTTTTCTTTGGCAACAGACCTCTTTATTCTGCATTTACTATAGCAAACAACAATAATAATAGATTATTACTGTGCTGTATGTTCCCACTCTACATTAACTGTAACAACACAGAGATATTTGTGTAAACTGAATCCAAGAAAATTTTCCCACAACTTTATTTTTACATCATTTAAAAATAAAATCTATAAACACTAACAGAATTTCTTACATAATACATTTCATAACTGCCTGTGCTGGTTTTGGCTGGGATAGAGTTAATTTTCTTCATAGTAGCTAGTACGGAGCTATGCTTTGGATTTGTGCTGGAAACAGGGTTGATAACAGAGGGATGTTTTTGTTCCTGCTTATAGAGATGTTTTAGCTGTTACTGACCAGGGCTTGCACAGAGCCAAGGGCTTTCCTGCTCCTCACCCCACCCCACCAGCGAGTAGCTGGGGGTGCACAAGGAGGTGGAGGGGACACAGCCGGGACAGCTGACCCCAATGACCAAAGGGATATCCCATACCATATGATGTCATGGTCAGCATATAAAGCTGGGGCAAGAAGGAGGAAGGGGGGGCATTCGGAGTGATGGCATTTGTCTTCCCAGTAACTGTTACTGATGATGGAGCCCTGCTGTCCTGGAGATGGCTGAACACCTGCCTGAGATGGGAAGTGGGGAATGAATTCCTTGGTTTGCTTTGCTTGTATGTGCAGCTTTTGCTTTACCTATTAAACTGTCTTCATCTCAATTCACAAGTTTTCTAACTTTTCCTCTTCCAATTCTCTCCCCTATCCGGCTGTGGGGGGAATGAGCGAGCAGCTGCACGGGGCTTAGTTGCTGGCTGAGGTTAAACTGCGACAGTGTCACATTTTTTCCCTCCCTTCTATTTCGAGATAATGCCCTCTCACCATTTTCTGCTGCTTCAGCTCTCTCTTAAACTCATCGACTCCAACTAAACTACCCCAGCCCCATGGTTATCCGTTCTGCCTGTGCACAGGATCACATCAAGGCAGAATTACCTTAGAGCATGTGGTGGCGCTGACCTAGCTCCTGCTAGGATTAGGCTAGACAATCTGGACTACAGGCTTTTGAATTTGTAACAAAAGCAAAATCCTTCCTTAATGAAAAAAACCTATTGAACAACTTGTTCTCTCCATTCACAAAGATCACAAGCATCGAATGACAGTGTTGCACAGTAAACAGTTATCCCTTGCAAAGTAGTGACAGCTGCTCTGCTGACGCAGATTATCACAAACCAGAGTATGAGTTAGTTATGCCACATTTACACCTCCCATGGATATTCATATTCAGCAAGTGTAAAGCCACTTCCTTCACTTTGACTAAATTTGTTATAAATTATTTTGAAAATGGAGTTCCTTGGTGAATTATCACCATACATTGTTACGTAGAAGATCCTCAGAATTCAGCCACATATGTTACTATTTAAACAGGGAAAATCATGTCTCATTTCCCCAAGTCATGGTCTGCTATGGCCACAGGAAGCTGCTGGGAGTCTGCGCCTTCTCTTTCATCCCAGAAAGTCACAAATCTTAAACCCATGCATAAGGGTAGGTTAAGGTTCCAGTCTTTATTCCAAATGTAAAATCCAAAGAATTTCCAAAGGAAATCAAAAGCAGGTCATGTATTATGTATTTGGAAGCTATACATGATTTTCTTTCAGGAAAGGAGACTCAGCTCGTGCAATGTGTTGAAATCTTCAGAAACAGATTTTCAGGATATTCTCTTGTTGATCCCAGTATGCAATTTGAACAACCTGATGGTGGCTAGCCAAGGTTTCTTCCCCGTTTTGCCTTCTGGTGCAATCAAAAGTCAAGGGTGCACATTTTAATCCACTGCTTCATTATTCAGACTAATGTAGACATGCAGACCCCAGGAGTTAAACTCCTACAGAAGATCTGCCTTGAATAGCTTTGGACTGCAAGCAATTCGATGGTTATATATACGTGCTAGCAGAAAGCTGCAATACTTATACCAGTGGTATCATTTCTGAACAAACACCTTTTTACACTGAAAAATTACTGATAATATACTTTTCATGCATGCATAAGAACAATTCACCACTGTTAAACCTTTCACCACATTATACAAAGAATGGCAGTATTTTCTAAGCAAAAGGCATTCATTTTGAAAACACATTTAAGTGCAATGAATTTGAAATAACCAGAGCTTTTAAGGCTTAAGAGCATGCCAAGAATCAGGAGGATCTGAGATGCAACATTTGAAGAAACTAACTCCTGCAGGCGAGCTGCTCCCCACTGCGGGCCAGGCCTCCATCAGAGCAGGGAGGGGATGTGGGGGCAGTGGCTCTGCACCTTGCTGGGCTGAAGATGATGCAAGAGAGCTGGAAGTTGGACACAAAGCCCAGTTACAAACCTCTGTATATTTATGTATATGTATATATATAAATTAAAAACCACGGATGAAGCTACAGACGCCCTGCCCAAAGACAAATCAGGCCATAACAGAATGATGTGGAGGAAAGCCTGTATTTTTAATTCTTTTCAATCCTTAGCCAAAGGAAGATGATGTACATGGCATCTGGTGTGCAAAGGGATTCTGGAATGAATGAAAAAAAAGTATGTCTAATTTTAATGTTCAGAGTCAGGTTAGTAAAATACGGTCAGAGTCAAGAGCGGGTGTCAGCTGCCTTAATAAAGACACACTAACTAGTATCCAAAACAACTCCATTTGCTTCCTAAAGTCTCTAGACTCTTTAGTTTAAATATCAGATTGTTTTTTACCCCATGAATGCTGCTGGGAATCCTGAAATCTCAATGATGACTTGTAACCAACAAGCAATTACCTGAGCCAAAACTGAAAAAAAACCCCAAATATGTGCTGACGTTCTCAGAAAATGCCACCAACTGCCTTCCAGTTCTGAAACATGACCAAGTGCTGGTGACAGGTAACTGTTAGGCCGGGATGGCTGGCACTGCGGGGCGTAGCCATGCCTTGCTCCGGTCCTGCACCAATCGTGCCGGCTCTCGGAGCTCAGTGCCTGCAGCAGCCCTGGGGCTCATCCAGCACCTTCCACACACACACTAAGATCACATATAAAAAATTGAAAACTATGCATAAAAGATGACAGCTGTTCCTGTTCCAACTTGTCTATTTTTATACTGAAACCACTTGGATTGGAGGTGATATAACCAGCACAAGGTGCCAAAGCATCATGTAATGGTTTGAATCACTTGGAACCTTTTTTGTACTGAAATGTCTAGTCAGCCATGAAGTCAAGCTCACAGCGGCAATCTGTGCTAAAAGAAACTGGAGAGAGAAATCAGTTCTCAGGCAGTAATTGAAAAGGCATAAAACCTTTCCTTTAATTTCTTTAAATATTTCATATAGAATGTTACATTACAAAAAAAGATGACGCTTGACAATTTTATGCAGCTCTAAAATTAAGTGATAGTCTAAATTTTAATGCAGATACCTAATATCCTAAAATTTTGAGGCAAGTTTCATTTCCTAAAAACAGTGGTCTAGAATAGAATTGGTCTGTGAAAGATGAAACACTTGCAAAGCATGAATTTTAAGAGCTTCAATTACAGTTTCTTGAGA